GAGGGTTAGCCACCCAGGATAACCCAAGAAAGTCAGTGCGATATCGAGGACTGTTTAACTTATTTCCATTGGGGTCCTTAATCTTGACCCCCAGGATGCGACCCACACCAGTCGACTAACACCCAGGTACCTATTTGCTGCTAGGTGAACTGGACAAGTGTAAGGAAACGTGTCGAAATGTTTCCACCTGCCAGGAATTGAACCCGGGCCCTCCGTGTGTGAAGCGGGAGCTTTAGCCACCAGGCCATCTCTATCTCTATCACCATCTCTACCACCATCACAACCACTACCACCCTCTACCACAATCACTACCACCAACCACCCTCTACCACCATCACAACCACTACCACCATCACTACTGCCCCCTACCACAATCACTACCACCCTATACCACCATCACAACCACTACCACCATCACTACCAGAAACTATGAGAAACAAAGCCAGACTGACTCACAATGCATGTGTGGGATGCTTTGTATGGGCCCTGGCAGGCAGACTCATTTAGTATGGTGGACGAAAACCGAGGTGATGAACGAAAACTTGAGACAATATTTTGACGAAAAAAGTAATCGAAAACCGAACTCAACGAAAACGGGGGGAAACGAAAACCAAGGTTCCACTGTAATTAGCCCTTTGACTGTTTCTGTCGTATGTACACCTACCATCCGACTTATGACCTGCTTGACATACGACCACTCGACTTACGACCGTGTTTGATATGCCAAATTTCTGGTAAATAAACAATTATTTGTGTTGTACACAGTGTTTATCCTAAACCTTACAGTATAAAATACAGTACTAACAGCATAAAAAGTAAAGTAAAACATGAAATACCAAAATAAAACAATAAAATAAAGTCATTAAAAAATGTTATGTTAATATTCAGTAGTAAAGCTCGACTTAGGTCCATTTCGACTTACGACCGGTTTCTCGGAACCGAACTCGGTCGTAAGTCGGATGGTAGGTGTACACGTCTTATGAGCAAATGTGTTTGACATATATTGTATACTCAAAAATTGTTATTGGCTTCAAATCAAGCAGGAGAAAGCTGGTAGGCCCACATATGAGAGAATTAGTCTGTGTGGTCAGTGTGCACCATATAAAAAAAATCCTGCAGAACGCAGTGCATAATGAGAAAAGAAAAAAATGCTCCTACCGTGTTTTTAGATTAAAACGCCGATTTTGAGGTGTATTTTCATATAGTTTTTATGGTTATATTCTTGTTTTTGTAGTCCCATTTGATAGATTGGAAAACATACTATAGAAATGGAGGTGATTTTGATTGGTTTTACTAGGAAAAGAACCTTGAAATGGAGCTCAAAGTTGGGGAAATGTTTGATTTTTGCCGATGTTCAAAAGTAAGCAAATGACGTCTTTGTCCAATAAATGTCCAACTAGCCATTCTAATATGCAGTCATGAATGGGTTGACATTATTTATACAATTATTACAATATTGCAGTAGTCTGCATAACAGTAAATCTTCTATTTTTTGTTTGAATAAAAATTCAAATTAGAAAGCAAGAGTAATATCAGAGGGGCCTGGAGACATGACTGATGAACAAAGAAAATGTTATTTTAGACCCAGGAATGCTGCATTGTTCATTCGGACCCTTTTTTTAAAATTGGGCATTTTTTTAATTTGTGTGAAATTGGCCAATTGCAATTTCTGACCACTTTTGGGGTAGTTTGAAATTAGTAAATGGGCAGTTTCTTGTGCTCAATCGTAGAAAAAGGGGTTTCTAAAAAAATTTTACGATTTTGGCCCGATGGGACAATGGAATTAGCCAAAATAGTGTCAAAGTGGGCAAAATCTCGTTTGTAAAATCGCTGAGGTCATAATTTCGCGGAGTGTGTTTCGTAGGTTTTCCCCAAAAATTTTTCATACTTTTGGTGTTTTACCATAGGGAAAAAATTATCTTTTTTCCCAAAAGAATTTTTTTTTTTTTTTTTTTTTTTTTTTAAAATATTTTGGACCCCAGGAAACCCTCGGGAAAAATTTATTTGGCATTTTAAATTTGTGACAGAAAATCATTTCCCCCCTCCCCCTGCCAACTCATGGAGTGGGACTTTCGTCCCTGATCCAATCTTTGTCCCCACTCCCTAATTATGTGGGCCCTTTTGGAACCTGACAGGAATCATTTGCCCCTTCCCCAACTGTAGGGGGACCTTTGGATGCCTGACAGAAATCATGTTCATCCCCCCAAATTTATATACCCAGTGGCACTTTGAATGCCTGAAATTTCATTGTTTCCCCTTTTCCCCCAGGATTCCACGGGACCTGGTTCCCTTATAGAATTGAACCTGAATGCCTCCATTTCCCCAAAAGTGCTTAGCCCCCTGGGGGTTTTATGTTTCCCCCAAAAAAATGCAATAAATTGTCTCCCCAGCTATACACCCGGACACTATTGATGCTGTCAGCAGTCAGCTGATCTCCCCCAACCATACTCCGTGGCACTCGTTCCCCCTCAAACCCCCCGTCCCCCTCAAACCCTCGCTCCCTCTCAAACCCCCGCTCCCTCTAAACCCCCATTCCCTCCAAACCCCCATTTCCCCCCAAACCCCTTCCCCCTTTTACCCCCATTCCCCCTTTACCCCCATTCCCCCTCAAACCCCCATTCCCTCTCAAACCCCCATTCCCTCTCAAAACCTTCATTCCCCCTCAAACCCCCTTCCCTCTCAAAAACCCCATTCCCTCTCAAAAAACCCTCTTCCCTCTCAAACCCCTTTTTTCCCTTTCCCCAAAACCCTTTCCCCTCTAAAACCCCCATTCCCCCTTAACCCTCTTCCCTCTCAAACCCTTTATTCCTCTCAAAACCTCTTCCCCCCAAAAACCCCTTCCCTCTCAAACCCCCGTTCCTTCTCAAACCCTTGTTCCCCTCCCAACCCCTTTCCCCCCTTCCCCCTTCCCCCCTTTAACCCCCGTTCCTTTTCAACTTTTCCAACCCTCTTCCTCTCAACCCTTTTCCCTCTCAAACCCTTGTTCCCTTTTTCAAAACCCTCGTTCCCTCCAAACCTTTTTCCTTTAAAACCCCGTTCCCCCCCTTTTTTCCCCTCCTTTCCAAAACCCTGTTCCCCTCAAAAACCCTTTTCCCCTCAAACCCTCGTTCCCTCTCAAAACCCTCCCCAAATTTCCTTTCAAAACCTCATTCCTTTTCAAAAAACCTTTTTCCCCCCCAAAAACCCCTTTTTCCTTTAACCCCTTCCCCCCCCCCCTCTTCTCCAACTCTCATTCCTCTCAACCTCATTTCCCTTTAGCCCCCTTTCCCCTCAAAACCCTTTTTCCCTTTTCAAAACCCCTTTCCCAAAACCCCTTTTCCCCTCAAACCCCTTTTTTCCCTTCCCCTCAACCTCTTCCCTCTCAAAAAACCCCCGTTCCCTTTTCCTTTAAATTTTGTTCCCCCCCCCTCAAAAACCCTTTTTCCCCCCCCGTTTCCCCCTTTTCAAATCCTCGTTCCCTCTAGCCCTCATTCCCCTCTGACTCTTGTTCCTCTCAACTTTTTTTCCCCCTTTCCCCTCTCAAGCCTCGTTCCCTTCAAGCCCTCGTTCCTCTCAAAAACCCCCGTTCTTCTCAAAACCCCCGTTCTTCTCAAAAAACCCCCCCTTCCCCTCAAACCCTCGTTTCCCTCAAACCCTCGTTACCTCTCTAACCCCCGTTCCCCTCAAAAATCTCATTTCCCCTTTTAAATCCCCGTTCCCCCCTTAACCCTCGTTCCCTCTCAATTTTTAAACCCTCGTTCCCTCTCAACTTTTCAAACCCCCGTTCCCTCTCAAACCCTTTTCCCTCTCAAACCCTCGTTCCCTCTCAAAACCCCCATTCCCCTCAACCCCCTTTTCCTTCTCAAATCCCCGTTTCCTTTTCAAACCCTTTCTCCCCCCAATTGTTCCTCTCAACCTCATTCCCCTTAACCCTGTTCTTTTTCAACTCTCATTCCTCTCAGACCCTCATTTTCCTCTCAAACCCCCGTCCCTCTCAAAAACCCCCCGTTCCCTCTAAGCCCTGTTCCCTCTCAAGCCCTCGTTCCCTCTCAAAACCCCCTTTTCCCCCTCAAACCCTCGTTCCCTCTAAAAACCTCTTACCCCTCAAACCCCCGTTCCCCCTCAAAAACCCCCGTTCCCCCAAACCCCCGTTTCCCTCTAATCCCCAGTTCTCTCTACCCCTTTTTACCCCTCTAAACCCCCTTCCCTGTCTAAAACCCCATTTTACCCAACCCTTGTTCCCCTTTTAACCCCCGTTCCCCCCCTTTAAACCTCCTCTCTTTTTATCCGTTGTCCTTCCCCTTTATCTTTCCATTTTCTCTACCTTCCCCCCATTCCCTTTCCTTTCCCCTCCCCTTTCCTTGGGCTACTTTCTTTTCCCCTCTATTCCTCTGCCTTCCTCTTGTTCTCTCTCTCTTTTCCCCTTCATTTCTCCTTTTCTTATCTTTTTTTTTCCCCTTTTCTCTCCCCCCTGCTACCTCTTCTTTTTCTTCATTCCCTTTTCTCCCTTCCCCTCCATAACGATAACCAAATCCAATTTTTTTTAAATTTATTTTTATATAAAAATATTGGCCTACCCAGCATGCACCAAATACCATACATGTACAGTGAGCCTATAAAGTTAATGCCATCATGGCCCTTGATCTTGTGATAGCACCGTAGAGTCAACCCGTGAAGGATCCACAGTTACATGACACTGAATCTTGTGAAGGTGAATTCTTCAGTAAAACAACAACAGTTAACCAATGAGGTTGTAGGAAATATGGAGGTTTTACTATACAGTGTTTTTTTATTATTATATTCTTCTTGAAAGATATTTATCTCTTTCTTAATTAATACAATTATCCCTTTATTAATAAAAGTAAAAGGATAAATGTATAGTACTCCTGAAGTGAAATTTGTATTTTCATTGCAAACCCAAGTTGAATTTCACAGTGCAATAATGTCTTATTTTAATAAAATTGAACACTTCAGCAAGCAATGTTTATTTTTCTTTATTTGTATATCGTGTTTGATTACAGGGAATGACGGTGGATAACAGCAGCACAACAGTGGATACACACCTAGCTAACTCTGGATTAAATCTTTTCGGACAGCCTTTGTCTCCCAGTGGCTCCCACCCAGCTAGTCCGGTAAGTAAGAGTATGCTGGTATGCAGTGCCTCTAATCATTGCTTAGTTGCATACCTCATTTATTTTAAGTATAACACTCTGGATTGACTTGGGGCATTGATCACAACCTTCCTTAGACTTTAGGCCTTGACACATCTTGAATGTCATACACAAATAACCCGCACATAGAAGAGAGGAGCTTACGATGATGTTTCAGTCCGATTTGGATCATTTACAAAGTGCGACTTTGTAAATGGTCCAAGTCGGACTGAAACATCATCGTAAGCTCCTCTCTTCTATGTATGGGTTATTTGTGTATCGTTCCAGTCACGGTATTGTGCCTTTTTTGTTATTTATTGAATGTCATACTCACAGTATTGTTCTGCTCTATTATGCAACATTTTTCTTTATTATCAAATGATTTATATAGTATGTGTAAATAAGCTCTCTTATAAAGCTCCTCTGTATAGTATAATTTTTAAAAAGTGTGATTTATGAGGTACAATACATACATCCAGACTTGAATAGCATGTGAAAAGGTCTTCATAGTACATATTATTCAATTTTGGATACACTTCTTCATTTGGATTTGAAATACAGTGAACCCTCAAATTTCATCATCCCTTTTCTGTTTGTAATGTTACAAATAATGCGATTTCTAATAAGCATAGAGATCTCCAGTGAATACTAGAAAGGATTGCCCTTCTAGCATCCAGCCTGTTACTGGGTTTTTGTAACAAGTAGTCAGTATCCTGGTCCAATTATCCATTAGAATTTATTAAGATTCCATAGTGCTTCAGGATTACAACTGGTAGGCTACTAACTAAAGAAATTAAAATTTAATAAGTTTATTAATAACAAAGTCTAGGCATATAAGATCAAAGTAAATTAAATTAATCAATTGAATATAATATAGGATACAAGTTCCTACACTTCTCTCGTGTACAGTAGTATTGTGCTGAAGGCACATATCACATTTTTATGGCTTTTAAGTACCATCTGGTACATTGTTAGCATTTAATAACATAATACAAATATATACAAGTAAGTTTGTGTGTAAGTGCTCTAAGTAGTTCGCTATGTCTCAAGACTCGACTAGACTTAACCAGTGACTGACTAAAAGTCCTCACATAAATTATCTTCTTGACCAACCTGGCAATCAGAACAGCTTGCTTCAACAATAAAACGACTGATAAGCCAAACAGCAATATAACAAGCAAGAGCGACACAGAATCAGGAACAAGGAGATAATATAACGACACTAAGTAGGGATCATCTGCAGATCCTCCACAAAAGGCACAAAACTCCCATACTACTGAATCTAAGTTCAGCATTAGAAAATCCCCGACTGTGACAGTACACAGATACCAGTACAAATTAGGTCAGAAGCTACAGCTCAGGACCTGAGTTTCTCAGAGTGTCTATAAGACACCCAACCTCAGTACAACATCGAAAATCACTAAGTCTAGGCTATGTTCTGTGAACAGAGTTACACAGAACCAACAACAAGAAAGTGACAGAGACGATCTTCCAACAAGGACCCACAAGGGAGAGCAGGTGAGGGATATCTTGTTAGAAGAATGTCAAACAGACAAGAGTCTAGCGCAGGCCAGCTAGACTACTCCAGGCAAGGTGTGATAACCCCCTCCCGATCACGTGACTCTCCGTGGACTGCTGCTGCCCAGCAACACAGAGAAGCTGGCAGCGTAACGAGCGAAACGCTTGTTAGACAAGGCCGTCAGCTATTTAACACTCGAACTATGACCACTGAATAATATATAAATGTTACATCCTACCTAATAATATAACTAAGTCAAATAATAATGTAAAGCAATATATTTACGATTTAGCTAATATCGCAAATACATATAAGCAATATAAAATTATTTGAACAGGTAATATACATTATATACATTGTGACCCTTTCAGGGGTCACAATAGTAAAACTATAGTTAATCTCTGTAAAATGTATTTTTTGTTAATATTTCCCACAAGAAAAAATTCAATTAATCCATTCCAGACATCCAAAAATACAGTGGACCCTCGCCTAACGATATTAATCCGTTCCTGAGAGCTCAACGTTAGACGAAATTATCGTTAGGCGAATTAATTTTCCCCATAAGAAATAATGGAAATAAAATTAATCCGTTCCTGACACCCCAAAGTATGAAAACAAAAATTTTTTACCACATGAAATATTAGTTTTAATACACACAAACTGAAGAAGATATGCACAGTTACATGATACTTACCTTTATTGAAGATCTGGTGATGATGGATGGGATGGGAGGAGGGGAGAGTGTGGATGGTCTTAGTGTTTAGAAGGGGAATCCCCTTCCATTAGGACTTGAGGTAGCAAGTCCTTTTCTGGGGTTACTTCCCTTCTTTTAATGCCACTAGGGCCAGCTTGAGAGTCACTGGACTTCTGTCGCACAACATATCTGTCCATAGAGGCCTGTACTTCTCGTTCCTGTATGACTTTCCTAAAGTGTTTCACAATATTGTCAGTGTAATAGTCACCAGCACAGCTTGCAATAGCTGTGTCAGGGTGATTTTCATCAAAAAAGGTTTGCACTTTAAGCCACATTGCACACATTTCCTTAATCTTGAAGTAGGCAACTTCTTCAATTTCTCTCTCCCCTCCTCCGAAGCAGTTTCCTTAGGTTTGGCCTCTTGCTGTTGAAGATGATCTAGCAGCTCATCGTGGTTTGTGCTTCATTGTCCCCCTCCACCAACTCTTCCAATCCCCCCCA